AAATAAATATTTTTTTTAAATGAAAGTCAATTTCCCTTTTACTGTAGACACTTGACTCTGTACTTTATCATCCTCTACTCATGTGTTTCACTCAATCATATATTTTCCTAGTTCCTAAAAATGGAAACTTCGTGGGATGACAGTATACTTATTTTGAGAAAGTAATGGATAGTGCTTAAGCTGTGTCTTGGTATATCACCAAATTAGTCAGGTTTAAAGATTTTGTTCAAAATCCCCATGAGTATAAATGGAAAAATGCTAATTTCAGCTTTAATTTCTATAGTTTCCGTTACCTATAAGCAATATGTTGTATTGTGGATTTTAATTCTAATGCTTTAAATGAGATTATTTAATTTTGTAAAAACAATTGTATCTGCCAGGTTTTTCAGGTGATATTGCAATAGTTAATTCATTTTAAATAATGCACTATACATAGCTTACCCTCTCACTAGATATCTATATACTATGGTTTAAAACTGCATGATGTGGTTTTAGATTTGGAATTTCCTCCACAATCCTCATGTGTTGAAAGCATTATGCCCGATGCAGCAAGGTTCAGAGGTAGGGCTTTTTGGCAATGATTGGGGCTGTGACCCCTTCAGTGGATTAACCCATTTTATATATTGATAATTTGAATGGATTACTAGGTGGTAATTGTAGCTGGGTAGGTATAGCTGGAGGAAGTAGGTCACTGGGGCATACTTTAGGGCACTATATTTTGTCCCTGGCTCCTTGTTTTTTCTTCTTTCTGCTTTCTGGATGCCATGAGTTGAGCATATTTCCTCCATCACTCTCTTTCACCATGAGGTTCTGTCTCACCTCAAACCCAGAGCAATAGAGTTGGCCAATTATGGACTAAGACCTCTGAAACTGCGAGCCCCAAATAAACTTTTCCTCCTCTAAGTTGCTATTGTCAGATATTTTGGTCACAGTTGTAAAAAGCTGCCTAAAACAGAAATTGGTACTGAGAAGTGGGGTTGTTTCTGTAATTATACCTGATCATGTGATTCAGAAGCCTTTGGAACTGGTTAAGGGTGTAGTTTGGAATAGATTTTTTTTTCAGTGCTGGGGATTTAACTCAGAGTCTCAGGCATGCTAGACAAGCATTCCACCACTAAGCTACACTCCCAGCCCTGAGGGTGGAGTTTGGAAAAGTTTGGAGATGTAGGTTAAAGAAGCCTTAGAATGTTTTAAGCATAGCTTAATGAATGACTCTGGTTGGAACTCAGAATACTGATAGAAATGTGGCCAGTAAAGTCCATGCTCATGAGGATTCTGATGGGAACTAGGACTCAATTGAGAATTAGACTAGAGGTCTTGCATGTTATATCCTGGCAAAGAATTTGTCTACATTTTGTCCATGTCCTGAGACTTCCTATAACATTTAATTTAAAGATGATCAACTAGTTTCAAGGAAACACAGCATTCAGGTGGTGGCATGGGTGTTGCTGGCAGATTTTAGCCAGGTTTACTGTGAGAATAAAGAGCAAAAAGAAGAGAGGAAATATTTTTAAAACTCACAGTATGGCCAGAAGTGTACACATAATATTGGAGTCAAGGAAGTCGTGGTTGCCGAAAAGATTACTGCCACTAAAAAGAAGCCAAGTACTTTGTACGGAGACAATAGGAGAGATGCTTTGAGGCATCTCAGGAACCAGAAAAATCACACCCACTGCTGGATTAAGAGTGTAAAAGTGAAAACTCATTTGAAAAGAGACTATAGGGGCACTGTGATTGCACAGGGGTGCCTAGGAAGTTGTTTCTCCAGGATTCATTTCACTGTACTCAGCTTCCTGGGCACTCAGAGGCTGCTTTAGTCATGGTCCAAGAGGAACCACTTTAACTGTTGGCAGACCTTGGTGTAGTCTATGAGGTGCTGGTATTGCAGGAATTTAGGGTGCTGGAGTTAGTGACTCATGTAGGCTTCCATTGATAATATTGATATTTCAAAGGAAGGCCTGGGAGATCCAGCAAAGTGTAGTGGGTTAGAATCCCTGTGGCCAACCCCTGAGAGGGTGATACATGAAGAAACTTAGAGAGTGAATCCAAAGATGTAGTGGAGATTCCAGGAATTAAGAGAATGCCAGAAACAGACTATCTGCCAAGGAAAAATTCAGGCAGTTAGCAGAGCCAGCTCAAGAAAGAAGCCATGTGGGTTGCAACTGGCAAAGCCCACAGGGGTTGGACTGGCTGAATTCTTTGGGGCTCACATCTCACCACCATGTGTCCTGGATGCCATCCTCCCATGAACTGAAAACTCTGAGTCCATGATCCAAAATAAATCTTTCCATCTCCAAGTTGATTTTCCCAGCTAGTTTTTTTCAGCAAAATAAAATTTCGGTTTATTGTTGGACAACATTTTTTCACACATACATCAAACAGGCCAAAATAAATAAATAAATAAACAGCAACTTCATAGACAAAAAAAAAAAGGAAAAAAAAAGAAACCTTTTTATCTTTGGCCTTTTAAACCATCTCATACAAACCAACTACTTATAGTACAGCTAAAGTGTGTACACAAAAAAAATTACTGGAATGCTCAGAATAAGATTGTTTTTGCTTTCTTTTACAAGGTATTTTTTTTCTCCTTTGAGATTATAATGAACATGGTCACACCACAAGTAAAGTCAGAAGTAGGACAGAGAATGCTCCGAAGGCTGGTTTGGTCATCCGAGATCATTAAAAATGGCTTACCCCTAACAATATGTACAAAATTATAAAATGTAAATAAAAAATACAAACAAATTTTTCTTTTTAAAAGTACTTTTAAGAAAAAAAGCAGGGCCTTGGAAGTTGTGGTTCTTTTTTCCTCCCCTGTTGCGAATTCACTTTGTGGTTTTGGTTGAGTGCTAAAGAGCGCATGTCATCTGCGGGTGGCACTGCCCGTGGTGGGCGATCCTGTGGGCCTCTCTTCTGAAAAGTGACCATATTTAGATTCTAAGATGGGAATTGCAGGGTGAATAGGTCACGGTGGCCTTTTATTTTTATTTAACTTTTCCTTTTTTGCTGTCTAGTCATCCTCATCGGTCTTCTGCTTCTTGGTATCAACATCATCATCCTCCTCATCTTCAGCTGCCCGTTTGCCTGTAGCTGCCTCAGCCTCCTCATCTTCATCTCCATTCTCTTCCTCACCATCACCTTCCTCCTCCTCCTCTTCCTCACCACCCTCTTCCTCTTCTTCATCTACCTCATTATCAGCCTCCTGCTCCCCATTTTCCTCATTAGCATTCCCATTAGCAGGGGCGTCTCTTCCATTCTCTGCCTCCTCCACAACTTCCTTCTTCTCCTTTAAGTCCTTGGTGGTGATTTCAGAGCTAGTGTCCACGGCCATATCTGACATGGTGGGGCACTCCGGTCCCAGCTGTTTTTGTCACAGCAACAAAAAGTTGACTAATACACTAGTGTACAAAAGTTAAGGGCTGGGATGTGGCTCAGAGGTGAGCACTCGCCTACCATGCATGAGGCACTGGGTTCAATCCTCAGCACCACATAAAAATAAAATAAAGATATTGTGTCCACCTATAACTAAAAAATAAATATTTTTTAAAAAGTTAAAAAAATGTAAACTCTTGACTCGGCAGTTTATTTTTTTTGAATGTGTGATTTTCTGTCTTATATTTCTGTTTTAGTCAGCTTTTTCACTGCTGAAACTAAAAGACCCATCAAGCACAACTTTAGAGGAGGAAAGGTTAATTTGAGGGCTCATGGTTTCAGGTCTTAATCTATAGAAGGCCAGTTCCATTCCTTGTGGCTTGAGGTGAGGCTGATCACCATGGCAGAGTGTGTGGCAGAGGGAAACAGCTCACATGAGATCAGAAAGCAGAGAGAGCGAGTCTACACCCCGATATAAATATATATACCCAAAGCCATGCCCCAATTCTCACCTCCTCCATCCACACTCTACAGTTACCACTCTTCAGTTACCACTCAGTTAATCCCTATCAGGAGATTAAATCATTGAATGGGTTAAGACTCTTAAAACCCAATCATTTCTCCTCTGAACCTTCTTGCACTGTCTCATACATGAGCTTTTGAGGAACACCTCACATCCAAATGATAACAATTTCCTTCACCCAAATGCTTACACATTCTCATATGCAGATTTATTTTCAGCTCACTCAGGGGCTAGACTTCCTCTCTCAGGATATAGAGACCCAACAAAAGGTATAAAATTCCAGAAAAAATAATGGTTGATGCACTTAAGTCCTGCCCCTCCCTTTTTTCCCTTCCTCTTACAAAAGCCCTCTGGCCTGAGACTTCCAGAACTATAGAGCAGTTAATTCCAGCCATTTAACTACTTTCAGAACATTCTGTTACTTTACCCTAACTTAGGAGAGCCTCACATATTACATGACTTTAATAAAGCTGTTTATGGAGGGGTCACCCCCATTATATGGGTCTTAGTTACACTCTGTTTCTCCAGGTAGCATCTGAGGGACTCGAATCAAGCTCCTGAACCTTGTTAAGTCTGAACAACTTTAGAAAGCTGGTGATTTAGAAATCAGAGCCCCTTTGTGAGAAATAGGTGGCAAAACAATGTAATGTAACAAGTACAGTGCCCATCCTACAGTGGGTACTCAGAGTTCTTTGGGTGCAGAATGAAGGAATACAATGTAATGTAACCAACACAGAGACTGGAATGCAGAGTTCCCTGTATTTGTAGCAACACATAGCTGGGCCTCAAACCTTCTAGTTGGCTTCCTCTGCAGGGGTGGCTCAATTGGAAACAGCTCCCTGGGTGTGAGGCTGGTAGTAAACTCAGGAGGCAGTGAGAACAGGAAGTCAAGTCTCCTCTGGCCCCAGGGCTCTCCTCTCTACGCCCTTGGGGATGGAACTTCCTGTAAAGACTCCATCTTGTTAGTCTGGCTCTGACAAAGTGAGTTGGAGCTTGCTCTCAGCTTGCTCAGCAGCCTTCCTCAATCTTTCAGAGATTCAAATTGTCAGACGACACAGATTCTCTGCAGAAGAACCTCGTGAGGATTTTGGTGGCCAGACACATAATGGGTGAGTTGGTCAGCATGAGGCCTTGGTCTCAGGTCCCCAAGGGGTATTCTGGGCCCCTCCCCCATCCATAAGAAACCTTACTAAACTTTAAGATGCAAAGGGGATTGTGGCAAGGTCCCAGGTTGATATTTTTCATAAAGACAAGTGTCAATTGAGATCTGAGATACTTTTTATGTTTCCACATGGAAAACCTCTCTTTGGCTTGGCTGAAGTTAATTTTTTGTCCTATTTGAGGGGAAAGTCCAGGGTTTGAGGAATAGAGAATGTCACTTGAAAGACGGGATTCCAGCTAATGGTGGAGGAGGGGCAGGGAAGCTACCTGTACCCTTGAATTTTTACACCAACCATTCAGGGTAGATTGTATTTATTCCCATAGAAGTTTCCCAAGCCTTGTTTTATGTGCTAGCAGATGACCTATCTGGAATATTATATGTGTAGCTTTTATACATATATAATAATCCATATCAATTAAGTAGATTTGTTACCCAGATTTTAATAATAATTTAAGATGAGGTTCAACTATCAGATTGGCTTTGAGTTCCTGGGCTTAGGTGATCCTCCTGCCTCAGCCTCGAGAGTTGCTGGGACTGCAGGCATGAACTAACATGCCCATCTTGTTACTTATATTATTTAAATCTTCACCAAATAGGTGAATTTTTGTCTGCAGGCTGTATCTGTTATTCAATGAAGTGTGCTAAAATTTTCCCCAAACTGTGAATGTATTCATTTCTCCATTTCTTTTAACCAGTTTTTTCTTTGTATATTTTGGCTCTGTGTTCATGCAGAAAAATCAAAAATTTTTAATATCTTACTGTTGAATTGATCCTTTATCCTTATGAATTCTCCCTATTTTCTCTATTTTTTCATTAAAGTGTAGAGCTATGCAGATTTTCAGTTAGTGAATGGATAGAATGGTTTATTGTTTTTTTCAGTACTTAAAAAAACATTTTAGACTGTGGATGTAGCTCAATGGTAGAGCACTTCCTAGTGTGTGAAGCCCTGGGTTTAATTCCCTGTGTTACCAAAAATTGATAAAATAATTGTACATGTTTATGTGTACAGTATATTTATTTTTTAGCTTAACTATGCATATACTTTATTATTCAAGATTCGTTTTTCAGAAATCTATATTTCTGTTGAGTTCCATTCCTATTTTTTTGCTGATTCTAAGACAATCAGTAATTCAAATTTCCTTTTTTAATAACTTTATTTATTTATTATTATGTGGTGCTGAGGATCCAACCCAGGGTCTTGCCTGTGTTAGGCGAGCGCTTTAGTGCTGAGCCACAACCCCAGCCCATTAATTCCAATTTCAAACATAAATTATTCTTATTTTTTCCTTGACAAAAAGCAAACCTTACATACCACATATCTTTGTTTAGCAGAAACATAATCTACTTTTCTCATGTGCAGAGTTGTTTTTCCTTTTTCCTATTTTTATTTTTTAAATTTGATTTTTTTTAGTTATACATGATAGTATATTTTCCCATGATATTTCATTGCATTTATACAACGTGTAATGATCACTTCAGGGTAATTGGTGTAGCCATTGCCTCAAATTTATCATTTCCTTAAGTAACATTCAAAATCCTCTCTTCTAGCTATTTTGAAATATACAATTGTCATCAGCCACAGTTACCCCACATTGCTATAAAACATTGGAAGTTATTCCTTCTATCCAACTGTACCCCTGGACCCATTAACTGTCCTTTCTCAATCCCAGACCTTTGCACCCTTCCTAGGCACTGGTAACCTGACATTGTATTCTCTATTTCTATGAGGTCAACTTTTTTAGTTTCTACATATACGTGAGAATATTTTGCCATGTATTTATTTAAAAATTTTTATATCATTAAATTTTACATGTTTCTTTTAAGGAAAATTTGATGAAATATTATGTAGTCTGACTCTGTCCATATATCAATTTAGGGTATTTAATTTACTCTGCTTTTATGAAATTATAAGATATAATTTGGATCAAATAGACAATAATAATCTATATACACATTTGCCTATTCTGAGTTCTTGCTCTCTTCTTTCCTTTGATGTGTTTAAAATTTGTAGCTATTAAATTTTTATGTCATTTGGCTGAATAAACATTCTTTGGCCATCCTTATAGTGTTTGCCCTTAGGATTACAATGTACATCTTTGCCCCATAGTGGTCTAATGTAAATTAGTTCTTTTGCAAATTCTCAAACAGTGCAGGGACCTTGGAACACTGTGATGTTATTAACCCTCCCTATTTATTGTCATACATTTTAATTATGTATAGATTAAAACACTCAAAAGAAATTATCCTTGTATTATATAATCAATATTCACTTAGATTTGCCTCCATATTCACAAATGTCACTCATTTTCCTTCCCTGAATCAATGATCCTCCATCTGGGATCATATTCTTTTCTATATAAAGAACCTTTAAATACTTCCTTTGATTTGAGTCTTTTGGCCAATTTTAACTCAGTTTTTGTTATAAGAACATTATTATGAAATGTCTGATAAGCAATGTTATCCCTTAAAATACACTTTTTTTCTATTAATGTTTTTATAGTGACTTTATTTGTTATTTCTTAGAAACTTCTTAAGGAAGATTTCTTCATATGCTGTTTCTCTATTGTTTCCTGATTTCTGGCACTCAAAGTAAACATGTGCTAGATACACTTACTACATCTCCTGCTTTCCTCTCTTTTACAATTCTCCATAATTATGTATAACTAATATTTACTCTGTATTTTCTTCAATCTTATTTTCCATTTTTCTAGTTCTTTCAAGAAGGGAACTTGGCTTTTATCCTTGAACCATAACAGGAAACTTTCGGGGTAGATTGTTTTTTAATAGCTTCATTTATTTTTATATTGTGCTGAGGACTGAACCCAGTGCCTCACAACTGCAAGGCACATACTCTACCACTGAGCTACAGCCTTGCCCCTCAGGGTAGATTTTTATATATCTCCTCAAGAAGAGGAAGGAGATAAGAGTTAGAGATGATAAACAAATTGTCCAAATCACCCAAACTGAAAAGGGCAAAGTAGGGAATAATAACATCACAGATCACATCCTGGCTTATGATACATTCCTGTTTTCTTCACCCCACCCCTCACCTTGAGACTGGAATCACCTGATTTCACCTATGGTTGGCAAGTGATCTATCATGGAGCTTCATCTCCAGCCTTATATATTTATTTTTAGATTATAAAATACAGTGATATTTCTTTTTATGCTATTATATTTTCCCAGAACTTTTTCTGGCATTTACCACTGATGTGTTGTTTTCAATATAAGGTCACAATTCCCAAGCTAACGCCCTTCAAAGAAGAGCAAGATGCTGGGGTATTTTTCGAAGGAGATTTCCAAATTGGTCTGAACCAGTCAGTGCTGCCATGAATATTTCATCCCACCAGCAGCAAGAAGGAGATTCAGCAATGAATGATGCCCACATGGATTCTGGAGTTAGATAGTAAGTGACCAGTCATCAGTATGGCTGGAATAGACCATCCAGTGAAATATATAACCTTGTAGTTAAATATGTAATTCTTTCATCTCTCCAACCTGGAAGAGTGAGAAATGATAGGTTCAGATTAAAGGTTCAGCAAATTTTCATAATCCTGGTACCAAGCAGCAAAATATGTATAGAAAACTTTCTAAGCAGTAGGGATTATTTCTTTTTCTTCACTTCTCCACAGCACTCCCTATGTCATCCCATCCCATCATTGGAGAAGCAATTTATACAAACAAGACCAGACCCATGGTAATATGGAGAGAGCACAAAAACCTCCAGAGCGAAGAACCGAGGGAAACAGGCAGAATGGAACCTTAGGGAGCTGGTTCAAGATCACAGTGAGTGTTGTGGCAAAATGGACCAAATATCCAGAAGGAGAATGGGGGCAGTTGTATTGGACTCGTATCAGGACGCAAGGTTCATTTCTGGGTGCAGGGGAATTGGTAATTTATTTTTTTTATCACTAAGAGTTAATATCCCGGGTCATGTAAGAGCAGATTAAGAGAGATAATATAAAGGGGACAAGGTGACTGCAGGGAGAATAGAAATGGTTGCATATAAGCAAAGGAAAAAATCTAACACTAAGGAGATTGAACAATTCCAAACCAGATTATTGTTTGGCAAAAATTTAATGTGTGTGTGTGTGTGTGTGTGTTTGATTGATTCGATTCTCTGGGGTCCTTGACAAGGAGGCAGGCCAGATCTGCCTTGGGTAAGATTTCTTGGAATTTACCAAGGTAGTTCACATTAGATATCTGACATTTTTTATTGAAGAAAACTATCTGAATTTTTAAAAAAGATACTTAAGTCCATGTCTGATATAAAAGCTAAAAATAATGGAATTTGTCCTATCTTTAGAAATTATTTTAAAGCCTGAAAACAGTCTGAAAGAAACATGCTTGTATTTAAATTTAATGTTTCCATCTTTTTTTTTTTTTTTGCTCCTAGATTCCATTTGGCATAAAATATGAAGAGAAGTGGCTGCTGAATTTGATTCAGAGCCAGTGCAGTCTCCCTTTTACTCCGGTTGAGGTAAGAGATAAAAGTAAGGGCTATAAGAGGAAACAGGACAGAGGAAGGCTGGAAGAGCAGCAATTCTGACCTCACATTCTATTTTTCTCACCACTGTCACTGTAGTTTCACTATGAGAAAATGCAGGCCCAGTTCTTTGTTGAGAATGCCAGCATTGCCTTCGCGTTGAAGAATATTGGTGATAAGATTCGGGATGAGGATAATGAAAAGGTATGTGTCAAGGGGATAACCAGAGCCAATCAAGGGGGCAAGAGGGCAGGCCAGGGGTGATACCTTGTTCTTGGGGTTCAAAGTTCTTGGTGCAGACCCAGCTCCTCATGTGTTATCTGCAGATATCAATCTTTGTCACTCCTTCTGAGGTACCCTGCTCTATTAAGGATCTACAGTCAGAAAAGGTAGAGCAAGTGAAGGTAATGTAGACTCAAAACAAGTTGTGCACCAACAGCCATACCCCCTCTGTCTTCCCTGTATATTGCCCTACCACCTCTGCCTCAGAGCTACTGAACTCCATCTTTAACTTTGCAGTTGACCATGAACAAACAATGTGATACCTCCCATCAAGCTCTTGACATTCAGAGACCCCCTGTTGAACCAAGTATGGCTGATAGCTGTAATTCTGGGGTAGAGGAGGGCAGATGGGTTTGCTTGGGAGGGATATTTAGGGATTGTCACTTGGGGAAGTGTTGGTGTTGGAATTGGGCCAGCTGGTCTCCTCTCAGCCTTCTGATTCCCACCTCTTGCTTCCTGAAGACTTGATGACCCATGCTATTGAAATGGCACCGAATCCTAGAAAGCACATGGTTACTTCCTTGAATATTCCTGAAGAGAACAAACCCAATGTGAGACCTTAGGCTTAATGATGTTATTGAGGGTGGGAGAGGTTAGCTAGCAGCCAGACTGGTCTCAGATATTCCCCATTAGAGCCCTAACTCTAACTCTTTCCTCATCATAGCTTACCTTGCCAACCTACCAGCTGGTTGGCATGATGAATACTATGCCAAAGGATCTCAGTATTGAAAACCCAAATGTCTCCAAAAGTAAGGTAAGATGTAAGACTCAGATCATTATTTGAAGGAAAAGTGGAAGGACTCATCAGGGTGGTGACAAGAGGCAGAGAAGTAGATTTTTTGGTAAAAAAGGGAGTTGGTGATGCAGGGCCCTTCACCTCTCTTTCCGTAGTTCATGTGTTCCTCCACATAATTACAGGTGAAGTCTGCAGGAAAGATGGACAGCGGGAAAGGGCTGGAACCAGAAGAGATGTGTGCAGACAGAAACTCTCTGTGCACCACCTTCCTGGATAAGTCCAACAACATGAAGTCAGTTGTAACCTTTGCTACCCACTGGGACTTCAGCTGCCCCTGATGTGTACTTTTGCAGAAGGAGGCAGCCTTGGTTCTCTGGGAGCACCACAGGCTCCACCCTCTCCTATGTCTGTGTCCCCCAGCTGTGCTCACAGGTCTGCTTTGCCTCTTCTGACCTGCTCCCTTTTTCACCTGGTCTGGTGTATGTTTTCCACCTCTCTGCACCTGGCCTCCTCCAGAATGCTCTCCTGGGATAGGAGTAGTTTCCTTTCCTATCCTGAGAAGGTCCCTTCTTCCTTTGCTCCACAAAGTTCTCCCCACCTGTCCCAGGCTGACATGGAGATTTCATGCCCTGTGCCAAGGGCCAAGGCTCTAGGTGGCTACCATCACAACATCTGTTCCTCTAGGCCATTGGTGGGAACTGTTTCCTCCTTGGGGAGAAACATGGGTTCCCTGAGTCAAGGAGCCAGAGGTGGGCTACTGGCAGTGAGCAGAGGCCTTCCCAAGACAGGAGGGGAAGGCAGAGGGCAAAGGTGGGGCAGGAGGAGGAGGAGCACAGTCTGCTCCCTCCCCCACTCCACATCCCACATCCAACCTCGTCCCTCAGAGCAGCCCTGGTAGCCCAAGTCAAGATGATTCCTTGGGCAAGACACTGACTCAGACAGGCACAGGTGCACAGGGACCACCATGAGGGAACCTGGTGCTCATAAGAGGGAGCCACAGACCCTCTGTCACATGCTGAGCTGGTGCCTGATTCTTCACTATTGGTGCTGGGAATGACACCTCCTGTGGGGGCGGCTCCTTTTCGCATACCTGGCACCCTCTGGACCCACACAGGAGACAAAGGCTGGACCTGCATCCAGTGGGCCCCAGCCCAGCAGGTACATGTTTTCATTCCTGCCTTGGGCTCCAGGGCCAGCCAGGGGCAGGTGAAGGAATGGGCTGCAGTAGGGGAGCTGGTTTCTTCTCACTTCTGCCTTGACCTCCAGCACCGGGGTGGAGCATCTTCCCCTACCATTTGCTTTGCTTCTCATTGTCTCTACTTTTCTTTGTCTCCCCCAACTCTCCCTCCCCTATCTTCACTCCTTTTTGGTCGCCATATCCCTTCCTTCCCCTCCCTGCCTTATTCACCCCACTGCTCCAGCATTTTGTGGGGCAGGGAGATGACCTGGTCTTGGCCTGGCCAGGTCATGCCACGCCCCACAGAATGCTGGATATCCAGCAAGATAGCAGAGCCCTGGGCTCCCACCTCATTCCCTGTTCCCTGCAGAGCCTTCCTTGGGGATCAGGAAGAAGGTAAGGGAGGCATGGAGGGGAAGGAAGCCCTGGAGCCTCAATGCAGCTTTGTGGTGGCCCTGGTGAAATGGGTCATGGCAGTGGAGGTGGGAGCTCCCAGGGAGAAGGAAAGGGAGGAGAGCTAGAGGGAGAGACAACTCTCTCTGTGTCAATCAACAGGAAAGTCAGTTATACAGTTTCAATTATTTTTGTCTATTTTGTTTTGATTTAAAATATGTTTAGTCATTTATTTTCAACTGACACATAAACATTTAATTTGCACATATTAATGTGATACCATGTAATACTTCTATATACACATACATTGTATGACTTTTAAATCAGTTTATCTTGATTTTTGATAGCTCCATCCTGGAATTGTTTCCCAAGTTATTATGTCTGGTAAGTTTGCTCCTTTCTCATTGACTCCTCTAATGGGAACTTATACTGTTTCCAACCTGCCCTGAAACCCTTTAGGTCTTGCCCAAGTTGTATTTTTGGATCTAACACTTAAACCTCAAAGGTATATGGAGAGGCAATACAGACCTATATGGGAACTTTACAAAGGCTCTGACCTTTCTTCACACAGGGACCCCTTGCCATGACCCTAGCTGTGGTTCTGTCCATATCATTTCCATGGCCTTTTCACATGGAATTTGTGACCTAACCCTCTCCTGGACTCATCCCTTTCTTTAATCATCCAGCATCACCTCCTTTTCCTGTACTGATGCCTCCTCTTGCCTTCCCCAGGATGGGCAGGAGTCACCTAGACCAACTCTATGTGGCATTGAAGCTCACAAGAAGTTACCAACTTGCAAGGTGAAGAGAGAGGCTCATGCAGGGTTTTAGGTGGTACACAAAGAGCACATAATAGCTATGATCCCAAACGTTCATTTTATTCCAGGGAAGTTTCTTTGGATCTGACATACTGAAGAATCTGGTCCTACAGTTCCTACAGCAGTAAGTCCCTCTGGGGTTCTCTGGACTTGGGGGATGAGGGAAGTAAGGCCATATTATCATAGGGCTGCTTGATGAAACTTTTAAGTCTCATTTGGGGTCCAAACCATAGAGATAGACTATTCATTTGCTCCCCTGCAGGTATTACTTGATCTATGACTATGGAGACCGAAAGAGTCTCCTGGGCACTTATCATATTGAGGCCTGCTTCTCTCTGACCATTCCATTCAACCCCAAGGATCCAGCCCTGTGAGTATCACAGCTCAGACTCTGGTCTATGGTAGTGTGAATCCCCAGCAGACATAGTCCAGCTCTTGGAAATATGTGCACCAGCTAGACCTACACCTCTCGTTCCTCTTTTTCTCCTAGGAACAGCTTTTGTGAGTATTTCAAGTATAACAGGGATATAAAGAAGCTCAAGAATTCCTGTAAGTGTGTGATGGGGAAGACTGGGCAGCGGCAGCATAAGGGAGTATGAAGGGGTCAGTCATGGGGGTCAAGGGCAAGGGTGTGGCAGCCCCCCCTCATCTTTGCTTCTCCTGTCCTCTACAGACCAGTGGAAGCAACTGAAGCACACAAAACGTGACATCTTGGATACCCTCTGCGTGCTGCCCAAGACTCGGCATGACCTCAGCTCCTTTGTGGTGGACATGTGGTTCCAGACGGTGAACACCTGCTTCCTCCCTGGGGTGGGACCAGAAAGCTGGAGGTGGGTAGGAGGTTAAGCAGATCCTGAGTTCCTGCATTGCCCCCTTTCAGGAAACAATGCTCTGCTTCTCTGTGAATGGTTTGTTCAAGGAAGGTGAGTGTCTATACAACCCCCTCAGATCACCTGCTGCTCCCTCCCCTGGGTGGGCACCCTCTCAGAACTCTCCCAGCTTCCCTGATTCTAGGCCTTTCCTTCCTGTTCTTCCCTGGGGGCTCTTCCCTCGGTGCTCCCACTCTGCCCACAAAGCATCCTGGTCTGAACGTGGTCTGTGCCTGTCTGTCCCACAGCTCCGGTGTGTGTTAGGGACATAAGCTGTGGGGTTCCATGGCTCTCCTCCCAGGTCCTTACTCTGTGGCCTTGGACCAATTACTTGACCTCTCTTTTTCCCCATTTGTAAAATGGGGCTAGAAGAACCCATCTCTTGGGCAGATGTGAGATGAAGATCAAGTGAACTTTTGAAGTGGTTTTCACAACATATATTAGGGGACCCATTGCAAGGAGTAGACTGTTTCTACTATTGCCCTCTCATTTCTGCCACAACTTTGTGACTCCAAGTGAACAATTTCTGGTTCTGGTCCCCTTCAGCATAATACCTTCCCTGGGAAACGCTGTGTAAGCTTGTAAATCATGTACAACTTTAAGGGGGTATTGTTTGTTGTCCTTGAAGTGGAAGGAAAGTCCCCGGGCTCTGTTCGTGCCTTCATCAGAACCTTCATCGCTATTCCTGGAAGCAATTCCAGGTAAGTGCTATATTGTAATTGCTTCCAGGAAAGTGCTGTATTGTAAGTGGGAACACTCTACTGAGCCTTAGCCTGTAGGTGTGGGAATGTGGTGGTGCAGTCATTGAAAACCCAAAGTATAGTCAAGTGCTTCAGTTCTTTCCTGATGCAGTACTCACTTGCTGTGACTTTGGCCAAGTCATATGACCTCTCTGTAACTCAGTGTCTTTCTCTGAAAACGGTGATTACATTTTTCACTTCCTTCTAATATTGTAAGGGGCAAATGTGAGTGTAAAATTATTCCTGGTTCATAGGTAAATCTATAAATCGTGTAAGCTTGTTGACAATCTCCAAAGTTGGCCTCTGGGAGAATGTTAAATGATACCAGCCAAAAAATGTCAGGCACAATAGGGAATATGGAAGGCATCTGGTTGCTGAGCAGAGGTAGCAGGATTGTTGTTGGGGAAGATTTTTGTTAGGGAGTGGGGCTGTACATCTTTCCAGTCAACTGAGGGTCTGCTTCTCTTTCAGCCTGTGCATCATCAATGATAAGCTGTTTGTGCGGGACACTAGCCCCCAGGGGAACCAGAGCCCCTTCTGCATCCCTGTGGCCACATATTCCTCCACCTCTGTGCCTGCCCTCTCCCAGGAGCAGCAGGAAATGGTACAGGCTTTCTCTGTCCGGTCTGGGATGAACCTCAAGTGGTCTCAGAAGTAAGTGATGGGTCTACATAATGATTATATATTTGCTGGGTGCATCAGGGGAGTGAATTATGGAAACTTGCAGATAGTTGGTTTTTGTTCTTTATTTCACTCAGTATCATACTGAATGTTTACCTTCCAGTACACAGTAAGCTACCTAGTTATTTTGAAAAAGTTTATGATACTTCTCTAAATTCTTTAGACCCTGTTCCTTTATTACAAGACATTTCGCTTTTCAGGATTTCCAACTCCCAAGTGACATACTGTGCCACAGAGTTGGTTTTTTTTTTTTTTTTTTTTTTTTTTTTTTTTTTTGCTATACATGTTACACTACACATGGAGGCATGTTTTTGTCATGTAGATTAGAAATGTCATTGTGTTATTGGAGTATCTCCTCTTGGGTCCTAATGGATGTCTCTTATCCTTTCTCTACCCCAGATACCTTGAAGAGAACCACTGGGACTACTTCAGAGCTACACAAGTTCTTTCTATGCCCAAGGTGAGGTTTGAGGATTCAGGCCAAGTGAGCAAAAGCCAGGTGGCCTGAGGATGAGGCCATTGACTTCTGGTTCTGCTGATCACCAAACTCCTTTCCTCACTTCCTGTAGGTAAAGGGCATGGTCCCAGAGGAGACCCTCAAAAAGACTGATCCTGAATCTTAATTACAAAGCCCTGAGAAGAAATTCCTGGGTGTTGTCATCTTTATCTTCTTCATCTTTGTTGCATTTTTTGTTCTAGTATGTGTATTTCTCTATGACTGAACTGGTTGTGACTGAAAGCCAAATTCTAACTTGTAGAGCTATTCCCATGCATCCAAAGAGTCAAGTGTTCCATGCATTTGCTCCACCTCCCAGGATGCCTGTTTATTTTCCTAATAAGAATGATGCTGTCCATTAGGTTAAACCTGCAAAAATCCATTTGAGACAGGCTTTACTCTCTAGGTTCTGCAGAGAAAGAAACGTATACACAGAAGGAGCAATTCCTGGGAAGGAGTGGAGTAGAGACTCAAATTTTGGACCCACATTTAGACCAGAGCTGTGCCCCAAAGAGCTGTGTGGCTTTCTAGGCTGGAAGTGCTCTCTAACACTGTTAAACTTGGCCACTGGTGTTCTAGGTCCCTAGTGCATTAGTTAGATAGTTTTATGCAGAGAAGTATTAGTTTCTTAGCCATACAAATTTAAGAACAACCCCTTTCAGGGGAAATAGCATTAAAGAGCACATGGAATCCTATGAAAAAAAAATGTCGACATATAAGAACTGTCATACTGTTAATATCCTTGATAAGTAAAGAAAAGGCAGAGAGAAAGGTAACTGACATTAACCTTGAATTGTCATTAGAAGCAATGATAATAATCACAAAATCTATGAAACTCTGTTCAACCATAAAACTATGAAAACATTAACTGTGAATGTTAAGATACTAATTTAGAAAAGGAAATTAAATTGCTATTTTCAGAAAAATACATTGCATTTGTGTGTATGTGCATGTGCAAGCATGTATCATATATTTTTATTAGTTTTTTAAAGCTGCTCTAATAAAGTACCACAAACTAGATGGTTTAAAGCTACAGGAATTTATTTTCTCACAATTCTGAAGGTCATAAATCCAAACTCAAGGTGCAAGCAAGGCCATGCTTCTTTCAGAGGCTCTAGGGGGAATCCTTTCTTGGTTTTTCAGCTTCTGGTTGCTAATGGTGATTTTATAGGTGTGGTAGCATGATTCATATTTCTGCCTCTATCTTCGCATGACATTCTCTGTGTCTTCCATTTTTCTGTTCCTTTAAAGATCACCTATTATCAGATATAGGATCTACATTAATGTAAGATGATTTAATCTATTAATATCTAAATAAGGTCACGTTCTGAGGCTACATATATGCATATCTTTTGGAGATCACTTTTCAATACCCTCCATTGTGTCCTCTGGCCTGTGAAAATTCCCATCTGTCTCATGTGAAAAATGTATTCACTAAATCCTGCCTTATTTAAAAGTTAATGCATTTTGGTATCAACTATTAAGTAAAATATACCATCTAAATATCAACTAGGGTTGGAGGTGTAGTTCAGTGGTAGAGCACTTTCATGTGCAAAGTTCAGGTTTGATTCCCAGCACCACAAAAAAGTAATGGCTTCTGAAGTCCCAAATTGCATCATCTAAAGTATCTAGATCAATTTTGGGTGAGACTCTATCATATATGAAGGGGAACAATTCTCCATCTGTGCCAGTGAAATTTAAACCAGAAAATTCTGGTTATGAGATTATCAAGGAAGGATCTGTTCACTGATGGAATAGACATAGGGTAAACATTCCCATTCTAAGAGGGAGAATCTGTGTTGGAGTCTGTAAACAAGTCAAAATAACACCTGGCATTTTGCCAGGGGAATGTTAAAGTTCGTAAACAAGTCTGGATGGTGCCTGGCAAAATGCCAGAGGGAGTGGTTTGAAAAGTAACAAAAGTGAGCCATTAAGTGTGGAGATTTCTTATTGGTTCAGTGCTGTATCGAGTTTATGCTAATTAGATAAGCTGTGTGGAATGTATAAATACTGCTCCTGTCCTGCAATAAACGGCTCCCACTCCTGCTGTATCAATCTACACAAGTTGTTCGTCACCTCCCCCCGGTTAGTTTGCTGCAGCCGGACTGCGGCAAATCTGAGAGAATTAAAGAGTTCACTAGTCCCAAGAAAGTTTTAAATCAATCCAGGAAAATTCTATTAGGTTTCAAGGCCCAAGAATTATCCTCTGTGGCTTGATGCTTTGATTTCTGGGATTGTGGAGGTGACCCACTCTGACCTCTGCCTTTATAGCTGTAGCTCTGGTCTGAGAGTAATCCTTCCTTTTTCTTTATGTCTAACAGCCTTCCTTTAATTTGTCCTCCTTTCATTCCCTTCAGGTAAGGTTAGTAGTGTTTTTGTTTTGTTTTTTTGGAGGGTGGGTAACGGGGAATTGAACTCAGGTATTTGACCACGGAGCCACTTCATCTTCCCTATTTTGTATTTTATTTAGAGACAGGGTCTCACTGAGTTGCTTAACACCTCACTTTTGCTGAGGCTAGCTCTGAATTTGCAATCCTCCTGCCTCAGCCTCCCAAACTGCTGGGATTACAGGAGTGTGCCACTGTACCTGTCTAGTAGTGGTTTTGGTGAGGAAATTATTCTCAAAAACCTTGTAAGTCTCTAGTATATATCAAGTGGATACATACCATCAGATAAGAGGGTTCTCCACAGATCCTTTCCAGATAATCTCCTCTTTATTCCTGCATTCTGCTGAGAATGTACCATTTTGCATTTCTTTTTAAAAATCTTTTTAGTTGTAGATGGACACAGTACCTTCATTTGATTTATTTATTTTTTTAAACATGGTGCTGAGGATTGAACCCAGTGCCTCACACATGCTAGGCAAGCACTCTGCCACTGAGCCACAACCCTAGCCCAATGATTTTGAATTGCTAATACATCCTTGCCAATATTTAATGCTGTTGGTTTTTAGATCTTGGACATTTTAATAGGTGTGTAGTGGTATCTTGTTTTCAATTTGCATTTTCTTGATGATATATTATGTGGAGCATCTTTTCATGTTTTCTTGTCATCTGTATATTTTCTTCACTTAGGTGTTTAGGTCTTTGGCTCATTTTTATGGGGTTATTTTCTTACTGCTGAGTTGAGTTCTTTGAATATTTTGGATAATAGCCCTTTATAAGATATGCTTTACAAGTTGTCTACTAAGGAGTGAAATTGACTTCAGATTTCCAAAATAAGGAAATATATAAGGACATAAAACATGGTAATGGTGGCTTTGGGCTGGAAAGAATGGGGGCAGTAAAAAAATGATAGCAAAAATACACAGGGTTTCTCATTGAGGTGAAGAAGTTATTCTAAAATTGACTATGGTGATGAGAAAATATATTTATGAATATACTAAAACCAACTGTCTTGTACATTTTAAATGGATGAATCTTGCAGAATATGTTATTTTTCCACAAAGCTTTTGAAAAAAAAGATATAAAGAGAGACTCTTTTAGCTTTCCATCATTATAATAAATACTTCAATAATGAATTTATGAAAAGGGTTATGTTGGTTTTTAGTTTTGGAGATTTCATTCAATGATCATGTAGAACTGTTGTTCTGAGGGAGAACATCATGGTGGGAGTGCATGGCAGAGCAAACATGCTCAGATCATGACCAGAAAGCAAAAAAAGTGAAAAAGGAAGAGATCAGCGTCCCATAATTCCCTTTGAGGGCTTGTTCCCAATGACCTAACTTACCATTAAGCCCCATATATTGAAGTTTCCACCACCTTGAAATACTACCACACTGGGGACCAAGCCTTTAACACATGAGTCTTTGCGATATTCCAGATACAAACTATAGCAGAGATTTAACTGGACTTCCTTTTAATTGAATATGAAGGACAATGTAGAGGGATACTAGAATGATGGCCAAGTTTTTGGGCTGGCCAACGGGGGACTGTAAGATGAAAAACAAAGGGGAAAATGAGTGTAAACTGGGAAAAAGTGGAGGGGGGATATCACCTGTAGATCAGGAACACTGAAAGTTTCTGAGGGGTGAGAAATCACAGTATTTCTTTGAGAATCTGCCAAGAAGTATGTTTCTTAGTTTCATTTTTCTGACAAAATACCAGAGATAAGCAACTTGAAAAAAGGAAGGATTTATTTTGGTTCATGGTTTCAGAGGTTTAGTCTATGGTCACTTGGTTTAGTTGATCCTGGGCCTGTGGTAAGACAGAAAGATGTAGAGTGTGTGTTGGAGCAAAGCTGCTCACCTTGAGGTGACCAGGAAGCAGAGAGAGGTGGGAGGAGGGAAGGGAAAAGGGCCTTGGACAAGATATACCCTCTGAGGGCACACCCCAGTGGCTTCCTTCTACTAGGTCTCACTTCCTAAACCTTCTACCACTTGCAAGTAGCACCAACTGAGGACCAATCCTTTAATACATAAGCATTTGGGGACATTCCAGATCCAAAATATAACAATCCCTCTCTCCCAAAAATGTAAATATACAATTGCTCCCTACACACATAATTCTGAATAACATTTAAGGAGTTCCATAGACTTCCAGGTCGAAAGAAGGCCAAATTTACTCAGGCTGATCAGCAGGCAGTACTCCTTGGGTCCTCACATAAACATATAGGGGTATGCTGGTGGGTATAAGCACTGGTGGATAATAACTCTGCAGCAAGACTAGGCTCTTCCTCAGTGACCCAAAGGTAAGGAAGTTAGGGTGAGGGTTCCAGGAATCTCCACCTCCACATCCAGCAGGAAGTTTCCAGAAAGTCTTCCAACTGGGGTAGGTGAAAAGGGGGAGAATATCAGGGACAATGATGCGCACGTGTAATCCCAGATACTTGGGAGGCTGAGGCAGGAGGGTCACAAGTTTGAAGCCAACGCAGCAACTTAGCAAGAACCTGTCTCAAAAAAAAAAAAAAAAAAAAAATGGAGGGATGAGGGTGGATGTAGTTCAGTGGTAGAGTATTCCTGGGTTCAATCACCAGTATTGCAAAAACAAAACAAAAGAGAGATAGGCAGACTTAAGAGCTCCACTCTCCCCAAAAACTTCTGTACTCTTCTTGTTTCTTGGAAACTCACTGCTGAGAGCCACAGCGGAGTTGGAATGATGCGTGGCGGCTCGGTTATTTTGTGCCCAGCCAGACTGCAGCAACTCACTACAGAAGTGTACATGGCAATCATTCTGTTGTTTTTTTTATATGGGAACAAACCTCCCATCTATGCTAGTAGGTCACTAGGTGGGAATTTGGGGGAGAAATGAAGAAAACAAAGGTATTTACTAAGGTCTTATGTCCATTGATATTTTTAGAGTAAGCAACAAATTCAGTAGCTTTAACATAGGAAATGATGAAAAAAGTCAGGGATCACCATGGTTGGACAGAAGTGAGGACAATGAAATAAGCCCTTGGGCACAATAAATTATTACCCTTTGTAGCATGGCATGTTGCTTCTCTATCCTTGTACTCTTTTCAACAAAACTCATTTTATGAGACTGTGATAAAACCACTGAAACAGAATGCTGGCACAAGACAAAGTACCTGGTGAAAACTTAGCACATAATACCTCTAACATGTGAGTTAAGATAATATGTTTGCCGAGGTTACCTTTCAGGGACTTGAAGGCCACTTTTGCTGAAAAACACTAACTCTTCACTTGGGCCTAGAGATGTCTGATGTGGCACTATAATGGGATGAAAGGCCTGATATCTCTGCCTTCATATTATGTCTGAACCCTTTGTTGCTGTAAATTTTAGTTCAGATTCTATTCAACTCTTTTTTTTTTTGGTACCAGGGATTGAACTCAGGGGCATTCAACCACTGAGCCACATCCTCAGCCCTCACTGAGTCTCTTAGCTCACTCACTGAGTTGCTTAGCGCCTTGCTGTTGCTGGGGCTGGCTTTGAACTCGTGATCCTCCTGCCTCAGCCTCATGATCTTCTGGGATTATAGGCATGTGGCATCATGCCTGGATGTATACATGTTAATTGACTGATAGAGCTGGTATGTGTTTTCTTTATCCTCGTGCTTTTTCAGCAGCTATAGCAGCCCAAGCACCCAAAGTCCTTCAGCCTTATCATAAGTCCCAAATTGAGCTACAAGGTCAGAATGTTTGCATAGGATGATGGCATCACCTACACATGTAACTCAACAGTTCCCAGGACAAGTTGACTGTGACTACATGGTGGTACAAGTCTCATGCAAGAAGAAACATCTTTCAGAATCACGACCCTGGCCAATGAAAAATTACCAAACTTTAGCCCATCCAAGAACATCAGTAAAAACTTGAACCTCCCTTGATTCAGGAAGGAGCCTGATTTCTTGACCAATGTTTTCTCTCTTCAGTTGAAGCCCCAATTAAAGCCCTGTCTGTATATTCACACTCACTTAATTTCATTTCTATGTTCACTGAATCAAATGCTCCAATCTCCTATATCAATCAGAGGCTCTGAAATGTAAGGGTAAGAGAAATAGCACTTTCCTAACCTTTTGTGAACCAGGGATGATTTGACTGTCTCTGCATCCTTCAACCTACCTGACCTCACAACTCTTCTTTGCTTAGATCATCATAATCACCCATAATAATAGCCATTAATTTTCAGCAGTTGATGTCAGTTGTCAGCAAATATTTTTTCTGCATTTAATGAATGTTCATTAAAATAGAATAAAACAGAAACATTTATTAACAATTGAAATTTGTCCCAGAAGGAAAATAAAATAGATTATTTACATAAAGTGCCCATAATCTGACTACTGAACTTCTCCCTGAAATTGTACTTAACAGATGATTTTAGAAACACAGATTGTTGGGAGTATTCCCTCTTTTTTATTTTCCAAAATAATTTCAAACACTCTAGAGTGTTCTAAAAATGACAGTGAGTGGAACCCAGAAGAAAACATCTTCTGTATGGTACAAATGAACATAAACAATGAATTTTTATTTTTACTTCCCCTAGCAAACCATCTCTTTCAAAAATAAAATTCTCTCATTTCCAATTTTTGAGGCATTCTAATTTTTTTAAAAGAAGGAAACAAAAATTATTAGGAAGCATATATACAGCTAGGAGATGAGATAAAGCAGAACAGGCCAAGGCCAAGCTAAGGGGTGGGGGATGCAGGGGGAAGGGAACAGATTCTCCCTGGTAACCAGAGAAGGGCCAACTCCAACCACAAGATGGTGATGCCACTTGTGGGGCCTCAGATTGGAGAGGACCTAGATGAGTGACACAGCAGTGCGTGTGGGGGCACTACTCACAGACAGGAGGGGGGTGTCTTGTTGACTGCCCACCAGTTGGTGTTGGGGGGATTGGGGGGAGGGTGAGCTCTGGTGACGTTCAGCCTTCACGTGACCCAGAGCTGCAGAGCGACGCAGCCCAGGGTGCAGTCGTCACTCGCGTCTGGCTACCAGCTCCCCGCTGCCCTGCGCACGGCGGGCTGGCAACGGGCCCGGGGAAAGCGGAGCAGGTAAGGGCCCTGGGGCCCGCGCGTAGCGGCCAAGCCAGCAGCAGCTTGTAGGCCCAGCGCGGGTGCAGGAGGACAGCGCGGCGGAGCCCCCCGCTTTCTCCACACCCCAGCATTCTAGAGCACATAAATAGTGGCGCCCTGGCGTCGGGGTGCAGGGCGGCTGAGGCTCGGGGGAGGGGCAGCAGAGCAAGTAAGAGCAGAGGGAAAGCACTCTGGAGTCCTGCGAGGTAAAATGGTGAACGCCGCGGGGGGCGGGGCGGCTAGGGTACCCGGGGTGCAGCTGGAAAGCCCGGGTCCGGGGCGAGCACTCGGCTACAGCAGCCCTCTGTGCCCCCACCTCGGTCTGCAGGTCTGCGGACCAAGAGTCGCGGCGGCACAGCCGGCGGCGAGAATCCGGAGGAGCAGGAGGAGACGGCAAGGATAGGCCCAGGTCTGTGCGAGGGGCAGTGCTGGGAGGCGGGGAGGGGGCGGCGGGAGGAGGAAGGTGTGCAAAGTCAAATTTTAGACCCCAACCCCCAATTTCCCCATCCCTGCTCCTCCATTTTACTGCCTGCAGAAATCGGGGGATGGATCGATCGGGAAAATGGTGGTTTGGGGGGGCAGGGGGGGCCAATAGGGAGAGGGGAGGGCTTACATTGGAGGCCCCCTAGAGGACAGACAAAGCCTTTCAGATGGGAAAAACGAAATTAAAAAATACGTCGATATCCAGGACACTGAATAGTGAAAGATGAGCAGTTGGGGACTCTGTCCTCGGTGCTGAAATGTCCATCATAAATTCATGAATTTTCTTGCCTTTTATCTTCTAGGAGTAATGGAATCCAAAGAGGAACAAGTGGGAAAAAATACCAACATGGAAAATGCCCCAAAGAAAAAGGAACAGAAGGAGCAAGATGATAATAAAGGGGAGCCCTTGGCCCTCCCTTTGGAAGCTGGTGAATACTTTGTGCCTAGAGGAAATCGTAGGCGGTTCCGTGTTAGGCAGCCCATCCTGCACTATAGGTGGGACCTGATGCACAGGCTTGGAGAGCCCCAGGCAAGGATGAGAGAAGAGAATATGGAAAGGTTTGGGGAGGAGGTGAGACAGCTCATGGAAAAGCTGAGGGAAAGGCAGTTGAGTCATAGCCTGCGTGCAGTTAGCACTGACCCCCCTCACCATGACCATCATGATGAGTTTTGCCTTATGCCCTGAATCCTGATGTTTTCCCTGAAGTCAATAGGGAGACCCTTGCTTCCTAAACTAACATGTTGTGTTGTACCGCTGTAAGCTTTCTGATGTCATTAATTCTCTTGGGTCTCCAGTTACCAGCTTCTAATTGAATGTGTTTTTGACGCAGTCTGTAAGATTTTTGTCAGCAGAATTTACCTATTGCATGGAAAGATGCTCATTATATATTGTGAAGTTAATAAAGCAGTTTAAAAGCAAACAGTGTTTTTTTTTTATTTTAAAGCTTATATGTAATGTAATTACATAAAATTTACAAAAATTAAATATACAAAAGGATTAATACAGGAACTTATTGCTGTGAGATGGGTTGATGTGGCTTTTTTATATTTTGTGTCCTTTGAAAAGAAATGAAAACAATTTTATTGACCTTATGAGAATACTAGGGTTACTTCATAAATGCACATTGACTGAATTTGGATCTCTCTGCCAGATGAATAAATTTAGGAATTTTTTTTTATGAATTGGGATGCAACTGGCTTCACACAACTTAGACAAGATCAGGAGTGTGTGACCTCTATTTTTCTGTTTTCACCCATTCTCTATTATTATGCAAGTCTCCTATCAGAGTTTTCCTTTCAGATACTTTGTTAAAACAGAGTGCCCCAAAACACGTCTTAATAGCCCAGCAAACCTCCTATTCCCCTCACAACTACAATGTCTGTTGATCATCCTGTGATTTCTGCCGATAAGAAATAAACACTTAAATAAAATTAATAATGATTGAGTTAGGATCTCTTAGTTCTTAGTTTAGTTCCTAACTAAATAACCATAGATATGTAACTTCCCTATTCTAGAAGACACTCCTTGCAAATCCTAAAAGAAAACTGGTTTGATTCAGTAATATCCTAGCATTTCTAAAAGTATGCTAATCTTCCATCTGTGCATGAATCACCTGCAGACATTATTGAATTGTGGATGTATACGTAGATCTATGATCCCACACTAGGCCTATGAATGAGGTTCTAGAACTTTCATTTTTAGTGTATTTCCCTTGGAATTCTGATGTACATCAATGTCTAAAGGGCTAGTAGTGTATGTGTGTGTGTGTGTGTGTGTGTGTAAAATCTCAATTCTTAAATAGTAACTATAATAACAACATACAGGTGATTATGTAAATTCATTTGAGAAGCACTAAAATACACAGGATGTGTACATTAAATAGACCTTTAGGTTTTATACTTAAAAGTTTAAATTTAAAGTATGTACACTAAGAAGTCAACAGTGGTCATTTCTTGTGAGGTATTGAGTGATTTTTTTAAAAAAATCAACTACATTTTTAAATAAAATGAATGACATGTACAAAAAAGAAATACATACTAATAACAGGTCCAGCCTCAAAAAACTTTTCAGTGAGCTACAAATGCAATGGAGACACTTAAAAATTCTCATTCATGGAACTCAGACATATAGATTTCACGTTATCCTTAAGAGTGGTATTTAGGTCCTGGTTTAATTACCTCTCCTGTAGAGCATAGGGACATTCTTTCTCTCCCTCCTTCTCTCTCTCTCTCTTTTGGTTGGTACCAGGGTTGCTTAACCATTGAGCTACATGCCCAGCCCTTTTTATTTTGAGACGGGGTCTTGCTAAGTTGCTTAGGACCTCGTAAATTTGCTGCAGCTGGCTTTGAACTTTGGCTCTCCTCCCTCAGCCTCCCCAGCTGCTGTGGTTACAGGCTTGCATCACCATGTCCAACAGAGACAATCTCGTAAGTCTTGCTTTCTACTTAGTAGAATACAGCAAAAAAGTAATGGGATGTCACTTCTGAGATTACATTATAGAAGATTGTGATTTCTGTCCTGCTAGTAAATTCATCTCTCTCACCCATTCTCCTCACTGCCTTCTGCTGGCTTTGATGAGACAAGTTGATGTTAGAGAGGCACATACAACCAATAAACTGAGAGTGTCCTTCAGGCTACAGCTAGTGAAGAATCATGACCTTCATTTCAAAAGCCCTCAAGGAACTGAATTCTGCAAAAACAACAAAAGGTATTTTGGAAGCAGATCCTTTCTCTGTGTGTGCTTGAAAAAGAGCCTCATATGTAACACAGGCCTGGAACCACTACTCTGAAAGTCTAGCAAATGCTATGAAAAAAGCTGGTCTCTATTACAGCAAATTATATTCCAAGATTTTATAATTATGTCTAAAGAAATTTAATTGTCATATGTAATTTAAAAGAACCAATAAAAATAAATAAATAAATAAATAAATAAATTTTATTCTATGGATAAATAAAATTACCTGTGAATATGGTAATGAAAATGTTGCAGATATCTAGTAGTCCAATTAACATAAAAAAGCTAGTTTGCTCTCTTCCATGAAAATTGACAGTAGTCTGAGGGCCAGGGAGGGGCAACTCACACATAACACACGGAATAAATAAAAATAATCATTTGATATTCTTATATATGATATGCTCGAATTCGGGACCCCCAAAAGACCACCAGAGACAAGATCGATGTAAGCAGCAAAGAGGTGTTTATTGCGAGCTAGCTCAGTCCTCTGCATGCACACAGCAACTGGTGACGCTGAGAGGCCCTGAGCCCAGGGTTTGCAGCAGTTTTATACACTCTTTGGGGAAGGCAGGGACTTCACATACATCCTAGCATCTCTTAGCAAATCTTCACACACCACGGGAAAATCATAAAACAACTCTAAAACATGATTAGCACATTCACTGGCGGGAACAAGTTGGGTAGGGGTGATTGGCTAATACAAGAGGGTGATTCATTTGAACTGATTGGTTTAAGCCACAAGGGGAGAACCGCTGAACTACATGGTTTCCCAACATGTTATAAACCACCATAAACTACTGGGAGGATCATCTGGCATCCCAAGTATTTTCCCTGACTCATGCTGATTGGTGGTTGCTAGGGGGTTGCTATGGGTCCTCACCTAGCCTGACTGAGTCAAGGACACCTGGTGCCACAATCTCTCCAGTTATCTGCAGACAAACAACTCTGCAGGGTGGGTATGTGCCTAGGAGTGCTATGTGGATTTTTCCAAGGACAAGGGCTATGCTCCCTTCCTTGGACAGGCATTGCTCTGAGGTAGAGGCTGGTTTTCAAAAATAGAGTCACATCAGTTTCTCAATATCAGCATTTTGAAGAAGTCTTTAAAAAACAGCTAATTATTATTTTTTTATTATTATTTTTTTATTTAATTTTTTATTGTTGGCTGTTCAAAACATTACATAGTTCTTGATATATCATATTTCACACTTTGATTCAAGTGGGTTATGAGCTCCCATTTTACCCCATATACAGATTGCAGAATTACATCAGTTACACATCCATTGATTTACATATTGCCATACTAGTGTCTGTTGTGTTCTGCTGCCTTTCCTATCCTCTACTATCCCCCCTCCCCTCCCCTCCCCTCCCCTCTTCTCTCTCTGCCCCCTCTACTGACATTCATTTCTCCCCCTTATATTATTTTTCCCTTTCCCCTCACTTCCTCTTGTATGTACTTTTGTATAACTCTGAGGGTCTCCTACCATTTCCAAGCAATTTCCCTTCTCTCTCCCTTTCCCTCCCACCTCTCATCCCTGTTTAATGTTAATCTTCTTCTCATGCTCTTCGACCCTACTCTGTTCTTAGTTACTCTCCTTATATCAAAGAAGACATTTGGCATTTGTTTTTTAGGGATTGGCTAGCTTCACTTAGCATAATCTGCTCTAATGCC